TTACAGAGATATTTTTAGTCATAGCATTTTTTCCATATTTTTTTTTTTAGTATTTTTACTCTTACTTACTCTGTGTTACAAAGTTATGTATGTTCATAGTGAAATTAGTTAGGTTTACTTTTAACTCGAAGATCTTACATATCTGGTCGTTTTTTTAAGTAATTTTCTCACGTGTCTCGTATGTTTGTTTCAAATTTACTACCTACTTCGGACACTTAAGCTAAGGAAAATTGTTCAGAATAATTTAGAAAAGTGCTCGCTTGTCATTGGAGAAGTTCTTGTCTATTAACATCAACTNACTAAACTATCACTAAACTACAGTCAATTTATTGTTGGCCTTATTTTATCGGTTTATTTATTATTTTTAGTAAAGGTATATCTACATTTTTTATATTATAATCGAGTGTGTGAAGGTGTCTGCAGGTATGTGTTTAAATAGATAAGAGTTATAGACACTAGTAAATATACTTCATTTATATACACATTTATGTTAATATACATTTACAGTATTTTATTTACAGAGATATTTTTAGTCATAGCATTTTTTCCATATTTTTTTTTTTAGTATTTTTACTCTTACTTACTCTGTGTTACAAAGTTATGTATGTTCATAGTGAAATTAGTTAGGTTTACTTTTAACTCGAAGATCTTACATATCTGGTCGTTTTTTTAAGTAATTTTCTCACGTGTCTCGTATGTTTGTTTCAAATTTACTACCTACTTCGGACACTTAAGCTAAGGAAAATTGTTCAGAATAATTTAGAAAAGTGCTCGCTTGTCATTGGAGAAGTTCTTGTCTATTAACATCAACTAACAGAGATTCAGTCCCGTGGAAACGCCTCGAAACAAATACACTATGACCACTAATAACATCGATCTAAGACATCTATTTAACTTTCGCAGTGCCTGGTGGGGTCTGAGAGGCCCGACTCATTTTCAATAGATCACAACTATTATAACAGATGCGTCCGTGATTTCAAATCATTAGTAGCTGAAGTTCGATTCACGCACTGGCGATCCCCACCTAACTAGTTTTCAGTGCGTGAGTGCAGGGCGTCCACAGATCCCACCAGGCTCGCTCGAAAAATTACTTTACTTTTTCCTATAAAATTTAAAATAATATTATTTCTTTTTAATAATAAGAATAAATAATTCGATTAAAATTTAGTTTTTTCGTTATTTTCAAAGAAAAGAAGTTTATGTTATTGTTATAATCAAAAAAGTTTACGTTTTTTATTATTTATATAGTCGTACCAATATATGTCTGAAGTTANCACAGATCCCACCAGGCTCGCTCGAAAAATTACTTTACTTTTTCCTAAAAAATTTAAAATAATATTATTTCTTTTTAATAATAAGAATAATCAAAAAATTTTACGTTTTTTATTATTTATATAGTCGTACCAATATATGTCTGAAGTTAAGCAACTATTGCTTTTTTTCTAGTTATACGTTTATAGATTTACCGCATACATTTACTAATAGAGTGAGAATCCTTTCTTTAATAGGCTGGAAATTGTAGCGTCCAATTTTGGGGTATTTTTTCACCAGGCTTACAGAGGTTAAGCATTTTTATACAAATGGTTCTCATCAAGGGAGGAATGAGTAGCTGACATACCGATTTCCATTTCCACCGAAGGCTTGAAGATGTAAACATAAACCACCACTGTTCCTTACTCCTGAGTGTGCCTGTCTTTTAAGCAGAGACACCCACCATTGGGAATGTATGTAGTTAGTCTACTGTAGAATAGTATGAGTCTATCAGAGAAAGTCTCTCTCTTCGTTGAGAGAGAAACTGCTTGTAAAGTGTTATGACTGAAAATGAGTCAGTCGCATTGCAAAGGCGCATTGCAATGCCCAGGGGTGGAGTTCCATCTCCTCCTCATCTCTGAAGCTTCTACAGAAATCGTTATGCGGGGCTTCGAACCTGTCAGCCATATGTCCAATGATCTAGTGACCCGTTAGTATTCCGTTTGGCTTTGAAAACCTTGTTGTTCCTTCGTCGAGCCGTGGCCAGGGCGAGCGTGATACCATGCAGGTGTGCAGATATTCCCACCTACTGTTGGTGGCTGCCCTGGTCACTCTCTCGACTACTGAAGACAGAAATCGCAGGGTAGGGATCTTCGCCATTCCTTAATACATATCGAGTTAGTCGCTGTCAACAACGAAGGAAAGTTTAGATGGAGCTAGATCGATCATGCTCACCAGCCTTGCCATGTCGATTGCATATAACTCAGCCAGAAAAATACCGATGTGGTCTATAGAGATAATGGACATAGAAATTTCGATAGAAGTAAATTTCCGTGACCTGATAGAGACAGCTACTGTACTCCAACCCCACTATGTCGAGGATTTTAGCGTTACCCGAAGAAGTTTTTTTATGGCACATCGAAGCACTCGGCTACGGTGGCGAGATCACTACTCGAATCCGAAAAAGTCAGAAAAAATGCAATAAAGTATTAAAAAAAGTTAAAACAGGACCAAAAGTGAATTTTGCATTGATTTTTATTTAAGTATTTTACTTTTGATCTGAAATAAACTATGAGCTTAGCAACTAGTTTGAAAAATAGGAATATTTTTAAGCTCTTTGAAGAGGTTTGCCTCACTGGTTTAAAGAGTTAAATTTAAATTATTTAAAAGTTAAAAGAATCGTCAAAAGATAGGTATTAATCGAAATGAGTTTAAAAAATCTTTATATCTAGATTATGTGTAGCAGGGTTTCCACCTGTTTAAAATGCTTAGTTCAAATTAGTTCAGAAGTCAATTGAAATATTTATCACAATTTGGTTGTCAAACGAACAGGGCCTAAGAATGTTTTAGCTGAATATTTTTTTGAAGAGGGTTGCCAACTGTTTAAAGAAATCGATTTTAATAAATTATACACGATATTTTTTTTTTGATATTTCTAAACTGAAGCCAAAGTTAAGAGATTCAGGAAAGCTTTAGTTCAAACGTATTTTTAGTAAAGGTTGCCACCCATTATGAAACTCAAATTTATTTTAACTACACAAATAGTTATATGTATATGTATGCAATATTACACGTACACTGTGAAACATTTTTGGGAATGGTTGCCAGCTGTTTAAAAAATCGAGACAATTTAATAAACAATTTAGCTAGAAAGTGGTTGCTTGAAAAAATTACGAGTTTATTAATTTTGCTATTCAACTTGAATTGGTTTGATGCAAAAAGATTTTCGAAATTTTTGAAAATTTCTCCTATTGTGTGCAATTCCTTGACTAAGGATTTTGACATTTTAACGCCTTACAGCTAGATAACCAGCACTAAAACAGCTAGCTTCTGTTGAAGTTGTTCCAAATGTCCAGAACCAAAGAGTGCTTTATTTTTTTTAGATTAACTTTATATCATGCCTTTAAAAAATAATAGCTGAAATTGCGTTGGCAGAAAATCCAAAAAGTATGGAATAGCAAATTTTAATTCGAAAAGTTCTAACGAAATAACTTTCACTTAAGNTTTCCCACCTACTGTTGGTGGCTGCCCTGGTCACTCTCTCGACTAATGAAGACAGAAATCGCAGGGTAGGGATCTTCGCCATTCCTTGATACATATCGAGTTAGTCGTTGTCAACAACGAAGGAAAGTTTAGATGGAGCTAGGTTGATCATGCTCACCAGCCTTGCCACCATGTCGATTGCATATAACTCAGCCAGAAAAATACCGATGTGATCTGGGAGTCTATAGAGATAATGGACATAGAAATTTCGATAGAAGTAAATTTCCGTGACCTGATAGAGACAGCTACTGTACTCCAACCCCACTATGTCGAGGATTTTAGCGTTACCCTTGCAAGTTGTTTGCAGCCTCTTAGATATCCTGAGTCGTAGAGCGCTTTAGCTGCAGTAATTGTCTACGTGCTTCTCTTCCGATTCGTTTTCTGCTTCTTGATGTAGTGACACAAATTGAGAGATCTGCATTTTCACTCCACCTCCGAAGAAGTTTTTTTTATGGCACAAGTACACCCGAAGGTTCGCCATTGTCTGCCAAGGCGCGGCCGCTATTTGAAAAGAACTTCTTTGATGTTTCTGGGACCAGAAATTTAACTATGTACTCCCGAGCGGCAGTAGGCACATCGAAGCACTCGGCTACGGTGGCGGGATCACTACCCGAATCCGAAAAAGTCAGAAAAAATGCAATAAGGTATTAAAAAAAGTTAAAACAGGACCAAAAGTGAATTTTGCATTGATTTTTATTTAAGTATTTTACTTTTGATCTGAAATAAACTATGAGCTTAGCAACTAGTTTGAAAAATAGGAATATTTTTAAGCTCTTTGAAGAGGTTTGCCTCACTGGTTTAAAGAGTTAAATTTAAATCATTTAAAAGTTAAATGAATCATCAAAAGATGGGTATTAATCGAAATGAGTTTGAAAAATCTTTATATCTAGATTATGTGTAGCAGGGTTTCCACCTGTTTAAAATGCTTAGTTCAAATTAGTTCAGAAGTCAATTGAAATATTTATCACAATTTGGTTGTCAAACGAACAGGGCCTAAGAATGTTTTAGCTGAATATTTTTTTGAAGAGGGTTGCCAACTGTTTAAAGAAATCGATTTTAATAAATTATACACGATTTTTTTTTTTTGATATTTCTAAACTGAAGCCAAAGTTAAAAGATTTAAGAAAGCTTTAGGTCAAACGTATTTTTAGTAAAGGTTGCCACCCGTTATGAAACTCAAATTTATTTTAACTACACAAATAGTTATATGTATATGTCTGCAATATTACACGTACACTGTGAAACATTTTTGGGAAGGGTTGCCAGCTGTTTAAAAAATCGAGACAATTTAATAAACAATTTAGCTAGAAAGTGGTTGCTTGAAAAAATTACGAGTTTATTAATTTTGCTATGCAACTTGAATTGGTTTGATGCAAAAAGATTTTCGAAATTTTTGAAAATTTCTCCTATTGTGTGCAATTCCTTGACTAAGGATTTTGACATTTTAACACCTTACAGCTAGATAACCAGCACTAAAACAGCTAGCTTCTGTTGAAGTTGTTCCAAATGTCCAGAACCAAAGAGTGCTTTCTTTTTTTAGATTAACTTTATATCATGCCTTTAAAAAATAATAGCTGAAATTGCGTTGGCAGAAAATCCAAAAAGTATGCAATAGCAAATTTTAATTCGAAAAGTTCTAACGAAATAACTTTCACTTAAGAGAGAAATAAATTTGTAGATCTTTTTGTTTTTTTCACCTTTTCTCTTTCTCTCCAATCTTTCGCCAAATCGTTTTAGACGAGTTCAATAATTTTTTCATGCATTTTATAAATAGGTTTTGTTACAATTTATGCTATCCAAGTGCTATACTTAGTATATTTTATATTTTATTACTATGTATTATCCTATTTGCATAGTTGTTATTAAAAAGTTACTACTTTAGGAATCAATGCGCTTACAGTTATCGTATAATGCCGCCGTATTTTCTATAATTATTTAAAATCTACACTTTTTTCAACAATATACGTAAGTATTATTTCTTGTTTCCCATCGCTCAACACAAATATAAAATCAAAATCAAAAACAATTACGGCTTCAAATATTTTTTTATTTATAAACTTATTTCTTAAGTCTATCAGATTTACATTAGCTAGAACTATAGTCTATAGATAACAGTTTTTTTTAAGAAATTTACAATAATTTACATTTTTTCAGCTAACAACTTTTGTTTTCTTTCTCCACTCTTTTCAACAATTAAAGCAATAATCATTCCAGTTAGGTTTGGTTTAAGTTTTTTTGTATCGTTTTTACATGGCAACTCTTACAGCTACATCACACTTACGGTGCCTCTCTTTATAGTACTTTACAAATATGTGACGAGTGCATGGCGCTCGTTCCTTCGCTCCAGCTATGCGCTCGTAGTAGTATGTTTCCTACAGCTAAGTTCACGCCTCTTACTACGCTTCCAATTATCAAAGTGACATTGTGAAGAGCGGTAACGCAATCGCCGCAAACGAGAGCAGAAAGAGACGTTCACTCGAACTGCTAAGCGCGCTCGCTTGGCACAACAGGTCTTCGGGAAAAATCTCCAATATGGGTAGGCGACGGCCAGTTGTCGGATCGTGACATGTGTTGGCGCGCGCGCGCTGTAGAGCGGAAAGAGATAAAGAGGGTAAAGTAAGCAGTAGCTTCGATTTGTGCTGAAATAACTCAACTAACTAAATAGTAAAAAGAGCTAAAAAATTAAAACCGAGAAGCTTACGCGCATAACGTGTACGGGTAACGGTAACTTCGTGCAGGGTAACGAAACGTAAAAGCATTAAAAAAGTGAGAACAAAGTTCATACATAAATTTCAAGTAAATAATAAAAATTCTCATAAAAAAATTTTCATTAGTTCATGCGTTTTTTGCTCACCTGCACCATTCGCTTCATCTCATCCTTCTGTATCACTTTTATTTGCGCCGATTCACGCAGCCATCGCCTCAGCCAGTGACCGAACCACACCAAGCCGCACTCGCACTCGAGCGGATTGTGTGACGTGTCCAGTCCGCCCATAATGCTGCGTGTACCCACAGTGTCCCAGTAGGTTTTGTTCGGGTAGAAGCTGTCCGCCGCCAGCGCATTGATTTTGTTGTGCGAAATGTCGATAGCCAGCTGCGGTACGGCACGCAGCGTATAAAAAATGCCCGGCGGCAGATCAGATATTTTAGTGTGTGAGATTTTTACCAGCAAATGTTGATTGCGCGCCAAGCCCGCCAGCGCATCCGGTGCTATTGTCTGCACATTGCCGCCATACAACTCTAACAGCTGTAGTTTTGTGTTATTCACCAGCTTCGCCAGCAGCTCCGGCCCTATATTTGTTTCCATGCAGTGCACACGCAACTCCTGCAGGCCCGGTATACGCGCCACAATCTCACCCAAATTCAGATGCGATGTGAGATGTAATTTGCGTAGCGAACGTAGCTTGATGAACACCGACGGATTGGCTACCTTGACGTCGAGCAAATTGAGATCGGTGAGGTGGCGTAGCGCAACGAGGTCGTGCGCGCTGATGCGCCGCAGTGGGTTGTGCGCCAAATCGAGCACACGCACAGATGTCGGTAGATGTTCGGCAATATTGCTGGCGTTGACAATTTTATTATGCGACACATTGACGTGGCGCAGCTGGCGCATTTCGTGTAGCGATGAGAGCTCCTGCAGGTAATTTCCGCTCACATCGAGGTGTGATAGATAGGGCAGACTGAGTTGGGGCAGCACATAGAGGCCCATGCGACGTATTTTGAGACGCCGTAGGCGCGGCGTGTGTAGGAACACCTCTTTCAGATTGGTGGTAACCAGTGGATTCTGCGACAGCTCCAAGTTGGTGAGATTGTTTAGGAAAGTGAACGTGTTGTCAGGCAGCACTGTAATGCGATTGCAGGCCAAGTTGATGTCGTAGAGGAATTGTGAGTTCACAAACATGCTGGAGTCGAGGTATTCGAGCGTATTCTGCGCCATCTGTATGCTGCGCAGCGTAAAGCCGACATCAGAAAACGCGGGTACAGGCCACACCGATAGCTGATTCTCGGAAATATCAAAGTATTCAAGGCGCGTATTCATGAAGACCTCGCGTGGCAAGGCGCGCAGACGATTACCACGCACGCGTAGTATGCGCAGCTTGCGCAAATTCGAGAACTGCTCCACTTGCAGCTGTTCGAGACCATTGTAGCCGAGATCCAATTCTTGTAGACTGTTCAGACCCTGAAAACTGCGGCGCCGCAGCGAAGTGATGTTGTTGTGTGCGAGATTGAGTATTTCGAGGAATTCGAGGTCGCCGAATGCGTGGTTGGCAAGCCCACCTATGGTGTTGTGCGCGAGGTTGAGGAAGCGTAGCGTATTGGCTAGATTGGCGAAGCTGTCCGGCGTGCTTATCGCATTGTGGCTAATGTCGAGGTTGTAGATGTACATATACGAACTGAGTTCGTCCTCGAAGTGGCTAATCTGATTGTAGGTGACGTTCAAACGCAGCGGTGTGCTGGTGTTCGAGACGAAATGAAACATTTTTAGGGAAAGGGAACAGAGGTTGTTGTGCATCAAATCCAAGGCAGCGAGATTGGGCAGTATGGTGAAGGCACCATGGGAGATGTTGGCCAGTTGGTTATAGGACAAATCGATGTAGCGCAGAAATTCCAGATTGTAGAAGGCGTGCTTCTCCAGCAGTTTCAACTTATTCGATTGTAGGTTAAGCGTCTGCAGGTCACCTAGACTGTGGAAGGTATTGCGTGCTATGACTTCCAATGAATTGTACGAGAGATCGATCTCCACGAGGTGGCTGTGCACATCGGGCAGAAAGAGACCACGCGGCAGCTGCTTGAGTTGGTTAAACGCCAGGTTAATATAGCTAAGTTCCCGCATATTTGCGAATGAATCGTTGGAAAGCATCTTCAAATTATTATTGTCCAAACCCAGCCACATGAGCTGTGAAAGCGGCAGTAGTGCGTCGAGCGGATCGATGGACTCCAAACTGCGTGCAGGAAAGACGGCGAAGGAGAGTTCCAGTATCTTAAGTGTGCGCGAAACATTCTCAAATACCATGGGATGGTGGATATTGATGTCGTTGAAGCTCAAACTGATTTCCTGTATCTGCTCCAAGCCGTAGAAAGAGCCCAAATGCAAGTGCGTGATTTTGTTGTTACGCAGCAGTATCGTCTGTAGGTTTGCGCCCCAACTGTCCACCGCGAAAATGCCCTCAGGTATGTCTGAAATGAGGTTGTAGCCCATATTGAGGTAAGACAGCTGCGTGTAATTACGCAGCGCCAGCACTGGTATCATCGTGAAGTTGTTGCCGCTCAAGCTGAGCACGCGCAAATTATCCGTGTTCTCCGGCAGATTTGTGAGTTGATAAATATTATTCGAGGCCAGATACAGATACTTGAGTTTGTGCAGCGTCCTAATCGCACCAGGCACTGCATTCAACTCATTGCGCTCCAGATCTAAGTACTCCAGCGTCTCAGTTACGCCCTCAAAGGCGTTCACATGTATGCGCTCGATGGCATTGAAAGCCAGCACTAAATGCGCTATGCCAGTGCCCTTGAACACCGCCGGTGGTAGCTGCCGTATATAGTTCTTTTCCAGATTGAGCGCGCGTACATGCACGTCAGAGTAGTTGTTCTGAAACCAATCTGATTCCAGCGTTTCGACCAAGTTCATGCCCAAGTCGAGCTTCTCCAACCGCATGCGCACCAACCGCAACTCTTTCGTTTGCACGCTACGCAGCAAATTGTCACGCAGCGATACGATGCGCAGCCCATGTAGATGCTCGAAGAGTTGTTGTGGGAAAACGGTGAGCAGATTGCTCGACAGATCGATGGTGACCAGCGAGCGTGGCAGGAAGTTGGGCGCTATGTGGTAGATGCGATTATTTGAAAGATCCAGCCAGAGTAGTTTTTGTAGGCGACTGAAAGGTTTGCTTGGCGCAATGTGATTACTCGTGCTGGACGTATGGCCCGCAGCAGACCCGCTGAGTCCGTTGAGCGTGTTTAACGCATGGTTGTGCGCACTTTTCATGCTGCCGAGCTCGTCGTGTCGTGTGATGGCCGCCAGGCTGGAAGGATGACCGCTACCGCCGCCGACGCCGTTCACGCTATTGCCGTTCTCGTGAAGACCAAAAGGAGACACCTCGGTGATGTCGTTGCCGGAGAGGTGTAACGAGCGCAGAGAATCGAAGAGAGCCTCCCAGTTGCCTTCGAGAGAGGTGATGTGATTCCTTTGAGGACAAAAATTTTGATAAAGAATGGGTAAGGTATTTGAATATATTTTTGTTTAATGGAATGAAGAGGTAATATGAACTAAAGTTTGAAGAAAGTTTTAATGCTATTGTACAAATGGATGATGAGTAGTCTGAGCAAAGAATGAAAGCAAAATTAAACAAAACAAAACAAAAAAATTATCAAAAGGGAAACAAATGCTAACTCAAGAGATTTCAATTATTCGGGAGAATACTACGTAGTACCATTTTTGATTCCACAGTTTTTTCTGTGGCAACTAATAAAGCAAAATAGCGCTAGTCTAACGTCAAACACAAAATAGTTGCTTTTGGCAAAGTGTATGAAATAATCGGAAATATCATAATTAGAGCTTTTCAACTGATGTTTACCAACTAAATATTCTCTGTGAACCTCTACGATATAATGAGGATATAGGTCGCAAATCATATCTATATTTTGCGCTATACGATATTAATATTGAACATTCCTTTAAGACTCACTTGGTCTAGCACTGAAGTTCAACGATTTTACATAGACAAATCTTATGCTATATTCTTGTGTTTTTAATGCCTAAAAGTATGCAATATAAGCCGCTTGAGCATTTTTTAAGCATCTTTTATATGTCTTTTAAATATTATATGTATATACATTTCTATGTGCACTTCTCAAACGGCATATTAGAAACTAAATTACATTTGTATACATTTTGCATGTTCCTTGCTAAATCCAATACCACCAAGGTCTTCTTGCCATAATTACGGTAGGTGCTTGTTGGAAAGAGAACTACAGAGATTGCTAAGAGTTTTCCAACTTTTTTCCGATTTTTGAGAAATTCTTAATATTCAAGAGGATATACAAAAATTTTCCCATGTTTTGAATAAAGTTTGAACTCAATTTGATATCCAATCTCAAATGGGGTGCTCTGACAAAAAATGCGCCCTTTTGTTAGAGAAAGGGTTGGTTCTCCGACTGCGGTACACTTGAAAATCACTATTGGACCTTGGGATTTGTATTGGATCTCCACTTGGTATCTAACCCAAAAGTTGATTGCCTTATATTCAGAGTCTAATGGGGACTAGATTGTCGCCTATCAAGGTCTAGCTGCGTTCATAAATTAGGAAGTCACGGCTGTAGAGATTCCTAAATGTTTTTTTACATGGCAATAAAGATACATTTATTTTGGCGATTTTTTTTGGTTTAGTTTAGATAAGGTGGGACTGGCTAGCCCATGCTTACTTTCGTAGCGCCTATTAAAGTCCACATCGTTACAAACGAATACTGCGATAAGGTATTTTCGCTTATTTCTTGAACCAACAGCTGTGTTGAAAAATATAGCCGAATTGCGGCAAATTTTCTGCTTTCCTTTGGCGTCTGCCTCAAGATTCGCTAGCAAGAGTAGATTTTTTACCGAATCTGGAGAGCCAAAGCCGTAGCCTACCAAGGATTGAACACTCACGGAGGATGTGTTCCACTGTCTACTGATTCATTGCGTCAGACCTAGCTTTAAGCCATGCCATGCCAGAAATTAATACCCTTTTAGAATAGCAGCTGGAGGCTCGTTCTTTTCGCTATCAAAATTCTTACTTTGTGAGCTTGCTGTCATAAACATGGTTCTTCCACCACCACAGCCTTGCGTACTAGCCCACAATTTTCCAGCCCCTGCATTGCCCGAATGTCAGTATAGAGAATCTCTTTGCCGCTTCCTTATTTCCTCACGCCAGCCTTCGAGTTTAAATATTCGCTCCAAAGTACAGGTTCCTCGATCACGTTGCTTGTTCATTAAGAAATTTTTTACGCTATACTACATTTTGAAGGCTTAAACATTTGAACTTATCAAGCACCTATTAGCAGTATAATAACTTTTGCGTTAACTTATGAGATTTAAGTCAACGTAAGTCTAATGTGTAGCACAATTTTGGGCCTATAAAGAATATTTTACATTACATTACATTTGGTGCTAAAAATAATGTAAAAATTATATTTGTTAAATCCTACTATCACGTAATAATATGACCTACAGCCCAATTCCCACTCCAATGAAAAAACTCATCCTAGGACTATTGTCATAATTACTGCGCCTAAAATTATGCCACAAAATATTTGGTCTTAAGTGCTCTTATGATGACAATGAGTACCTGACAACGACGAAATAAAGTTTATTACCTGGGACAAGGTTTTAGTTGCAGTTGCAAGACAAACACACGATTAGGCTGTTTGTAAGTACCTTTTGACAGAAAGTAAAGTTTAAACTAAAAAAAAAGTTTTTACATTTTTACAGAAAATTTAAATCGCAATAACTGATAACAAAACTCGCTAAAGCGTAGTAAAATAGTTTGTAAACTTAAACAAAACAACCAAAGAACGATAAAAGCAATTCAGAAAAACTAACGGTTTGTGTATTTCATATCAATGCAAAGTTTTTATTTTCTCAAATGTAAATGAAGTCAAATATTCAAATTTTTCTCACCTTTGCGCTACAAGCCGTGTTAGCGAATGCAATTTTTGCAACGCCTCGAGTGGTATGTGCTGCATTTTATTGCCAGATATGTCCAGCGTCATAAGCGAATGCGTCATTGTGCTGCAATGGCATAGATAGACAACAAACACAAATCAACTTTATTCACTTGAAAATATTGTGAAATTTCAAATGAAACTCAGAATATGGAAAATGTGGGTGATATAAGCATTTTAAATAAAGTATTAAATGAACATCACGATTGTGATTGGCAGTTTTTGCAGGCAATAATTTTGAAATTGTCGTTTTGCAATTTAAATTTAAATATGTATGCATATTTATGTTTAGGTATTTTAAAGCGCTTATAAACAACTTATTGGATTCATCTGTACATACGAAAGTATATTCGTTTAAGCAAATTTCGCTCAAAATATTTTTCACTTTACTTTCACTCAGGCACACTCATGGACTATCCCATTGCAGTGGAGCAAAAAAATCAATTTTTCGATTTCGTAATTCAAACAGTACGGAAAATTTAACATAACTTAGTCACATTCAACGATGCTAAATCATTTTCCCGATGCGATACTATTTACGGTCGCCCCAAGGAGCCTTAAAGTTTTGAAAAATCTCTCAAATTAGGAGTCTTTTGTGTTCTTTTCGGATTTTCAACAATGATTTTGAATATCGTTGCTACGCATATTTTCCAAATTTGCGAGCCTTTTTGCAATATTTAGGCTCTTGGGGCGACCGTAAATATTATTCGATGAAAGATGGTTTAATACGGTTCAATGTAATCATGTAACGTAACTTTTCCGCACGATTAGAATTTCGAAAGCGAAATTATTATTTTTTCGCTCCACCCTAATGCCCGCAAATTAGAAAGTTACTTCTTTAGATCTCTTGGACGTCAAGGGTTAAGATTTAGAAAGTTACTCCAAGGGTTAAGATTTTTTTTTGCAAAAATATATTAACTGACATGAAAAGTCCGATTTTTCTTTATTATATACTTGTACTTATAGTCATAATTGACTAAAAATAATCTAGTTAACTACTGTGCGACAGAGCGATGAGTTTTTTCTTGTGAGAGTAGCAAACAATTTAAGCAAAAGTAAATTTTTTGCTGCTGCAACTTTTTATCAAGTCTGCGTAGAAAATGTTAAGGCACAAGCACATGTAAGTCTTTTTGCTCTCTGAAATATTTAAGCGTTTGTATGGTCAAAATATGAGTAGATACTCATACATACAACTGCTTACATTTAAGCACTGGTATGTAGGCTGGAGGATAACTGCTTAAAGTCTGCTTCTGAATGTATATATGCAAACGTCTATAGAGGTTAGGGTGGTCCTTAAAAAAATCAAAGGAACTATTTTCTTCAATCTCACCCCCTCAATCGGTAATACCGCAATCACAGATATCAAATATAAATTTTGATCTCGATTGGAGGTGGTTAAGACTCAAAAAATTAAAAATATTTTCTTCATTTAATACCCAAAATCGATACTACTGAAGTTGAGGATATCACATACAAATTTTGGTCCCGATTGGAGTCGGTTAAGACGTCCTCAAAGGGTAATCTGAACTTTGACCCCTGTGTGACACGCCTTAATCGACTTCAGTCGGGACAAAAAATTACATGTGATATCTTCGAATATGTTAGTATCGATTTTGGGTATTAGATGAAAAAAAGTTTGTTTTAATTTTTTGAGTCTCTACAGAAGAATCTGAACTTTGCCCCTGTACGGGACATGAGTAAACTTTGCAAGCATTTCTTGGACAATTTTTTCTTCTACCATTTCTTTAACACTTTTTAGTCGTCTATCTTATGAAAGTACAAATTTGCGATTTTTCGTCACACGGCCAGCACTAGTAAAGTATATTTGCAAGTTTCAGCCTTTGTTTTGCCAGTCAGCATTAACTGTACAGATTTTTGCGGTGACATGGTCACTCTAAAATAGCTGAACGCAACGTTCTTAGTATTTCGGAAAAGTGTGTCAGTTGAGTTGCTTTTTAAGTTAACTTCAAATGACTCGCATGTGTCAGTTATCAACGCTTGAAAGTGAGTTGCACAAAAACTGAAAATTATGTAGTACACTTTGATGAAGTGTCACCCCCTTTTTTGAGGATAGTTTAGAATGATTATGTCAGCAGACGATGTGGTTCTTAAAAACATCCACATCTAAATTTTTTATGGGGCACTATTTCTAAGACTGCAAAATTTTAAAATAATTTTTAGGCATCGCTACCAGAGTTTTAAAAACTTGAAATCTTATTGATATTATTCAAATAAATTCGTAGTCATTACCAGATGAATTCATTATGTAATGCTAAGCAAAGACTGTCATTTGTTTGAGTTTTTTTACAAAATCAGATGTTGATATTTTAAGGACCACCCTTACATAATTTGCCTAAATCCTTAAAAAAGCTACAAACTTAACATGATTTTTGATCATTTAAAGTTTAAACAAAAACTTATGGTCACTTAAAAGCTGTACATAACTTTTGGCAATTTTAAAAGTGGTCATCAATTTTTGGCTATATAACACGGGAAATAAATTTCTCTTTGTTCGAAAACTTGACATAAATTTCAATTAGTTTAAAACTTGTACATAAATTTATGGTAATTTTAAAATAGAATTGATGGTAACAGGCACGCAAATGATCTCCCTCACATAGACATATTTTATAACCAATTATCAATGGCAAGATTTTATTTAGTTTCTAGTGTCGCCTTTATAAGTACTGTTTTAAAATATAAAAAAAGTAGGTTCAGTTTTTATATGGCCAAAATTATGTCCAGTCATGAACTGAAAAAATGTATGTCCAGTTTTCAAGACCAAAAAGTTATCTACAATTTTTAGTATATAAAAAAATTATGTCCAGTTTTTTAGCTACCAAAAATTTATATCCTCTTTCCAAGTTAAAGAATAATTGTGTAATATCACATGAAGTTACAAATCATCGATTGACACGTAATGCTTGCACACTTCACAATTTTAATGGTGATTGGTTATAATAGAAGCTCATATTAGTAAGTTTAGTTAGAAAACCATTCAAAAGTTTTGAATAAAAAAAAATTAGCTTATTTGCCCTTTCGTGTAAATTTCAGATAATCTTATATTGCGCGCCAAGCGACGAGGTGAAAATATAAAGCCATTAGTGATGTTAATAATAAAACCTGCGTGATTTCCCACAACAATCAGGTAACAACAGTTTTTCTATATCAACTTTTTAAAGCTGTCAACATATTTAAAGTCATTTTACTTTAATTGCTCTACTCAATTTGTGTTCAAGCTAAAAAGTTTCGTTTCACTTTATTTCCAAACTTAACATACTAATGACAAAACTATGAAATTGCCGCAACGTTTCTGCTTAAACAATTTTTCCTTATTGTTGTTACTTATCATTGCTTTCTAAATATGGCCAATTATGTCATGAAGTGGCAAAAGCAGCTGCTACAAGTCATCCATTAATGCTTAAGTGTAGCCAATCACACCATCACACAGAGCACACTACGAGTACTTATCCCAGCCGGTAAAGTTAGAATGCGGCTAACTAGAAGCTCTTTTTCTTTCTGATGTTTTGAAGCGATAGACCTTCCGTGCTTGATTCTCTGATCTTTTTGTTGGGAATACCCAAAGTTTTGGGGCTTTTGAGTCCGATTTTCTTAGCGGTAAAAAAATTAGCTTTGCACGAACCACTCTCCTCTGTTTGACTTGTGTTGCTTTGGAAAAACTTTTTCTCGTCTGCCCACAAAGGACATGATTCTGATACTATTTACTTCTGAAGGAAGGTCCTTTAAAAAAACCCACCATGAAAGCTTTTATTTAGTAGTACATTTTAACTTTTTTATGTCGCTGGGATGTTGTGCAAAGTGCTTCGTATTTGCGAAAAGTTACATACATACATATGTACATATGGACAGAAGTTTGTCTGATGTTAGCTATTATGACTATAATTAAACATTAACTAGTGTGTGTATGCATGAAAGTGCAAATGTGGATAAGCAAACATATGGTGAGTATTCTATGCGCGTACATAGTTATTAGAATTAACCCAGAAGCAAATGTGGCTTAGAATGAAGCAAATAGCAAGTATACAGGTAGTTAGTTTCTTTGATAACAAAATTTAACTCAAATTTAATATTTTAATTATAAGGATTTTTTAAGACAAAAATTGAAATAATGCAAATTTTTTGCTAAATATTATACATAGGATTAATAAATAATGAGCAGACCTAAAATAAAAGATACTTGCTTGCTAATAATTAAGGTTTATAAACAAGTGGCTTTTCGCTGCACCAAAAGCTAAAAAAAAATTAAACTTTTAAATAAAAAAGATGTGTAAGTGGCCAGTTGAATAAAAAAGACAACACTACTACAAAAAAACTATGTACATAACGGGTGATTTTTTAAGAGCTTGATACCTTTTTTTTTAAAAAAAACGCATAAAATTTGCAAAATCTCATCGGTTCTTTATTTGAAACGTTAGAT